AAAAAAAAACACTAGCATTTGATAAATCGAAGTCTCTGAAAAAAGCTGCTACTGTGACAAATCGAAGTGTCCTGAAAGTAACACTACAAATGAGAAATAGTCTAACCTTTCACCATGGTTACGAAGATCTTCGGCCGGGAAATGGATCGGAGCTTAGCTCAACTCTGTGTCGTGCGTTTTCTCAGCTTTGCTCAGGCCAAATGGCGCTTGTTTGTGTATATATATAGGTTTGGCTGAGAAGGAAAATTATTCTGTTATGGGGAGACGAATATAATTACTGTAGAGTAATTTCCGGGATTTATTTTTCTTTTTCACTAAAACTACAACCTTTGAACTTCGACAAAAGCTTATTCGTTTATTAATCAAGTTGCGATGAACAAAATGTGAGGTTGGTTTGCGAAAGTTTTGGTAATGTTTACAGACATTAATTTCATTTAATTTTATTTTATGTTCATATATTTATATGATATTTTAATTTAAAAATCTAAAAATATTTTTATTTTATAATTTTATTTTCAAGTTTGAACGAGTACGAACAAACAAAATCCAAGTTAATCAAACAGCTTTAAAAGTTTGTTACTAAATTTTTTCGAATACAAACGAACTCAAACTTTAACCAACGGCCTTGACCATTAATTTTATTGTTGCTGACAGTGGTTGTGACAATCTCACAAAACAAAATAGGGCAATGAGAGAGACAAAGTGATTTTTGGTGTGGTGTTCAACTTAACCATGTATTTTATCATTTTTCTTCTATTTGTTATGTTGGAATATCTCTCGTGAATTTGTCTAAATTGACTCTATAAAGAAAATGAGTCTAGTGTTATATATGTATAGTGGACTACTTCTCCAATCATCAATTGATTTAATATGGTGTGCATAGACTCACCCTTTTATCGTTTTTTACCGGTGGGGGCCAATGTCCTCTTCCCCTTATTCTTACATGATATCAGAGTCAGACCAACTTTGGTCTGAGTCTATATCTATACCCGACCTGCTCTAGGCTTGAGCAATACCCTATTTCCATAATTTTTGCATGGTATCAGAGCTAATCCAACTTTGATTTAGGTCTATATCTATACTCGTCCTGCTTTGGGCTTGAGATTATGAAGGATTTACAATAACTTTGGCTTGGGCCTAAGAAGGATTTATAAGTAAGTTTTGGGATGAAATCTCACTACAATGTGCACGTGCTCACTCTCTTATGCTGCTCTTTACCTACGTAGGACTACACGTTCTTCCCCAATTCTTACATAATACAAACTACGCTTGGATCCCAGTTGCTAGGCTCGCTAACAAAAATAAAGAAAAAAAAAGCTAACTGAAAAAGGAAAAAACTAAATGAAACTATATAATTAAGGAAGGTGCGGCGAGATTAATATGACTAACAAAATTTAGATTAAAAAAACCAAAGAATATGAAAAGTATCAAATGCAAACGAACACGATCTCAAAATGTACAAATACTTAGCTTGTTTTGATTTGATTGCAGTACTACTACAAAGTGCTTCAAGGATTTGATTGTAGTATCCTATTCGACAAAATTTCATCATTTGTCATTTGATTTTGATAGATTTTAATTACTTCTAATAAAAGAATAATTAGGCTTAGAATATCAGTAAATATACGGAATATTTACTATCAGTTTTAGATTATTGATATAATTGTAAATTCTAGACGTGATTTATAAAGCATCAATTTTTTCCTCAATGTTTTTTTTTTTCATTCTCTCTTTTATAATCATAAGAAATTACTAACTTAAATTTATGGATATATTTAAAAGTTAATAATTTTTTAATTTGTTATAATTTTTTTTATATTAATATATTAAATTAATCATATCTTGATGTACTTTAGTTTGATATATACATCGTACACATTTATAATAAAAAATAAACTAGTATTAATATTAATTGCAAAAAATAAATCATTTAATTTAATTTAACTAAAAACTAGTTATATGATGTAAGCTAAAGGCTATTAATATATAAATAAGATGATAAATTGTATAAATGACATGTGACATTTTAAATATAAATAAAATAATAATATAAATTTCTAAAAAGTACTTGATAGTTATTTATTTTTTAATTTCAAATATATTTTTTTTTAACAATGAACATGTACATGAGTATTGTGTTAGTGACTTAGTGGTGTATTAATTATGATTTTTAAGCTTAATTATGTAATTAACATAATCCAATTAAGAAACTGCAAAAACCCAATTTCCAGCTTCTCCGAGTCCATTGTCTTTCTCTGTAGACTGGCGCAAAAATTCACTCCTTCAATTCGGTTCCAAGAAAATCTACAGGGAAAATTACGACCTCGACCCGTACCCGCTATCAATGTTCGGTTGTCCCGGTAAGATGGGCCGCGGCGGCGGGGGAGTCGCCCGGAAGAGGAACATTCACGCGCCGCCAATCAGCCGCGCCGTCCGTCCGTCCATGGGCGGCGGCCCTCGGGGACGCAGCGTGGCGCCACCGGCGGCAGCGTCGTCCCCGTCCACCTCTTCGATGCAGGTGGATGAGAGTTTCAGCCTTGTCAGGGAGAATCCTTTGAATTTCGGGATGGCGATAAAGCTGGCGCCTGACCTGGTGGAGGAGATCAAGCGCGTGGAGGCAGAGGGTGGCGGTGCACGCATCAAGTTCGACGTGAATGCGAATAATCCCAGTGGGAATGTGAGTCTTCTGCTGAGTATTGGATTGACTCTTTGAATTTTGGTGGTGGTTTATTGTGTTGATGAAATAGGATTGGGAATAGCTTAGCTTTTGAATTTCGTCGGAAGTTCAAGCTCTTTTTTATGATCTTAATTTTCTAATGTTGGACTCCTGCCTTTTGCTGCTCACTGGCAGCCTTGCATAGTAGCCTGTAACTAGGATGTAGCTGAAACTTTTGAAGTTGGGATGGTTCTGCATGGTTTTTTGGCACTCAAAGTATCTTTTAGGGGATCTTGATGTTGGTACCTCATTATGCTTGTCTCAATCTTGCAACATGTAGACTGATTTATTACGGATTGACATAGGAATTAGCTCGGCAACTATTAAATTTGGTCTAAATTGTGGGTGGAAAACGAAAAAACAGCAGGTCGGTTAGGTGAGAGTTAGCACGAATCAGTAGAGATAAATTCAGTGGATCTCCTGATGAAAGAAAAGGGTTCTCAAATTGGAAATTGTGTCCCGCAGAGCGATTCTCTAATTTTCATAATGATGTCCCATTGGCCATTGGAGATCACAATGTGGAAGAAGTTTGACTGCCAAAATTTTGATATAAGCTTTGATAAATCTATTTGGACATGTAGCAATCACCATCTGATACGCTGAACAATGGTCCTTAAAAGGTTATATCTTCAAACGTTAGCACTTCCTAAATCAGTCTTTTCTACGTAACATTCACAGTGCTATATTTTTTAATTCAATGAAAGGGATGAATATTTTTTGAGTTACTAGTTAAGATGTGTATGTTTTTTTT